GATTTTCATGCACTTTTCTCTAAATTAAATATATTGTCAATAATAGAGACTAGCAGTAAAAACAAACTGGAGTTGCACAGGTTTTGAGGGCTGATACCAAAAATATATTTTACAAGAACAGAAATGTATAAATTTTTTTCATTGCTGATTAACTAAAGGCAATGGTGACTCAGGGGTTAGTAGTTTGCCCCGTAATCGGTGGGTTTCCAGATTGAACCCTGCTCAGTCTTAACTGCAAGTGATAGTCGGAGGCACCGATTTTGAAAGTGTTATTTTTTTAGAAATCAATTTTAGATCAATTTTTGTCCACTGATTGTATTTATGTATTTAAATGTAGCTATCTTTTTTATGTTTTACTTTATTTTCTGTTTTTTTAATGAATCTTAATTGCTTTTGCATCTGTACTGTGCTAATGTTCACATATTGAGAAGCATTTACATATACTTACTAGTGCGCATGCACATTAATGTGTGTGTCTGACTATGTCATTACGTGTGTGTTTGTGTACAGATACGGACTAATATGCGTGAATGAGAATTTAATTGATATTGATGTCTACTCTTTTGTGTCCTATTCATATGTAGTCTATTCATATGTATTAATATGGTGTGAAGCAGTTTGCATTGCCATGCATGAAATGCGCCATATAAATAAAGTTTAGATTTTTTTTTCTTACATAGACTTATTGCCATTGTGACTTAAGCCTGATTTCTACTTCTCCATCTACATGGGCACAGAGACACGTAATGAAATTATGCATCGGCGCTAGGGCTCTCTGACGGGCTCACAGGGGCTGATAGAGACATGCCCACATTTTTAATTATCCTTCAAAAGTGACAGAAACCGCAAGCTTGTAATTGGTCAGGATGTCACTTCCCTTGAATTTGTCAACAGCACTGCCACTGCCCCTTCAAATAATTAAACATATTTAGCAGCACACATGGAACAGATTGAAGGACACATTGTGGAAAAAGCAGAAATTTGAACATTAGTTCACCCGTGACTGAACAGTACAAGAATATGCTGCAAATGTGTTATACTTTGGGCGGAAATGATGAGAAACGTGAGTCCTTATAGGAGGGGAATGAGAAAAAACTAATCTGTGTTAAAAAGTCTCTGAAATACTTTAAAACAATAAAAACAGATTAGTAAATGCACTAATGTGGACTGGATACATGGGCTGCACAGTGATGCAGTGGTTAGCGCTGTTACCTTGCAGCATGGAGGTCCTTGGTTCACATCCTGGTCTGTGGTCTTTCTGCAAGGAGTTTGCCCCTGTGCACGGGTGGGTTCTCTCTGGGTGCTCCGGCTTCCTCCCACAGTCCAAAAACATGACTGTCAGGTTGATTGGTCTTTCTAAATGATCTTTAGGTTTGAGTGTTCATGGTTGTTTGTCATGTGTGTATCTGTGTTGCCCTGCAATGGACTGGCAACCTGTCCATGGTGTACCCCGCCTACTTGCCCAGAGATAAGCACCAGTCCCACTGCGACCCTGCGTGGATAAGCCGGTACAGAAAATGGATGGATGGATGGACCGATACATGACTGTAATGATGGCAGGACACCCCAGAAAAACACCATGCGCTCCATTGTCCTTGTGGGGAATTTCTTTGCAACACTCCCCAGAGAACAGAGAAGTCCAAAGGGTAAATGTCTCCATCAATGGGTGTGGATGACTTCCAACCTGAGCTGACAGAGATGCATAAATGAAGCTTTAGTGTTTAGCATCAGTGAATATATGATCTCAAATGAAAACGTTCATGTAGCCTAGCAAGCCATCCTACGTATCAGTGGTACTCAATTTGGAGTCCTCTGTCTG